AATGCTTTCCTTTCTCCGGGTGAAAATAGCCGGTCGGAATTAGTATCCTTGCCCTGGGCTAACGCCTGGAATGGTGCTCCACACCGTTGGCTCGGGGATAATATATACTCGTGTAAAATATACTTGTGTAAAATTTAAAATATTTTATGCTAGTGTAATATTATTTGCATAAATTTTTTATTTTCTGCCTGCATAATTATCCATTACAATCATAATAACATTACAAAATTAGTTCCATTTTTTCAGCGGGGTGGGGGCAGTTGCCCCTGCTTGTTTAACTTTAAAATCTTATTTGCTATTATAATTATATTTGCTACAGGGGTACATATTCCTCAAATAGTTTGTGAATGTTACTCAACAGTTAACATTGGCAAGTGTGTGTATGTTACTCAACAGTTAACATTGGCAAGTGTAAACAACAAGTGACAGAACTTTGCTTCATATGAATACAATAAAGTTTTGGAAATTCAATGAGTATGGATTGAATTCACAAGTGACAGTTTACTGAATGCCTGGCTGCATAATTATCTGTAACAATAATAATCACTTTATAAAATTAGTTAGATTTTCTTGGGGGCAGTTGCCACTGTCCACAGCCCTGTTAGATGTGTATTATGTTTGACTTTAAAATCTAATTTGCTATAATGTAATATAAGTGATAAAACATTTCTATAGAGCGTTTGTTTGCACATGACGTCACAGCCGCCATGTTGGTGTTCCAATTCAAAATAATTTTTAAATTAGACTCTTTTGTCTGGAATACCTGGCTGCCATGGCTTTCGATGAGTTGGTCACATGCCAACTTTATTGTTCAGTTATTCAGTTCCTTGCAAGAAAATACAAAACACGACTCCACTTGTGGACAGATATTTACGCATGGCGTACTAAACAAAGTCTCATTTCCCAACAAAAATATCAATACAGTATGATATACAGTAGATCATCAACTACTGAATAATGTAAATTAAAGGATACAGCAATATATTTTTTATTATTTTATTTGGAAGAACTTTTAAAATTATATGTAAATTTCTTTTACCAATTTTGCATAATTTTATTATTTCTCGAGATATTTAAACAGAAAAAATCACAAATCAGTGAGCTTTCGTGAGCATCTTGAATTTTGGCGGATATGTATGTGACATCATTTATCCATAGAGCAATTGGTTATTATGATCCCAAAATCATATACTATACTACGTAACTATTTGAAATAAAAAACTGTCTGACGACTTTTCAAACAAGACTTGATGTTATTTGGTCATTTAGATGTAGTTTTATATGGCTAACCGTGCTTTTGACGTCACTAAAATCACCGATAATGAGATAAATATTAATTCAAGATGGTGGACAGCAAATTATTTTAAGTCAAAATATTTCAAGAAATAATAAAGTTTACGCAAAATCGGTAAAGGAGATTATTATTACATATAATTTTAAAATATATTGCCGTATCCGTTTAAACAAAGTTACATTCCCCAACAAAAATACCTATACAGTCTAATATACAGTAGATCATTAACTACTGAATATAAATGTAAACTAAACAAACTTACATTTCCCAACAAAAATATCTATACAGTCTAATATAGAGTAGATCATTAACTACTGAGTATTGTAAATAACATAACAAAGTGTTAATATTTGTCTTCAATTGTCAATCTGATTAAACATTGTTTACAAAGGAAGAAACTGGGATATTACTTGTGGTGCCTTTATCAGCAATAATTTTGCAACAACCTGACTTCAGAATGATCCTTTTGAGGTCTTGTAAGGGCATGTCGTCCCACTTACATTTTGGAACCACAGACATTCAATAAGCCTTGTAAACCATCATTAAAACAAGTGAACTTGAGAAGCTCCTGGTCATTGCTCCTAATGGTGACTTGTGCAACAAGCTTGGGTTTTAACATCTCCACAAGCATATCGTTATTACATGAAGAACACATAACCATTTCCTCAGCTGCTATTGGTAGGTTAATCCCCTTATTGCAAATAAGACAACATGATGTGCAATTCAATTGTATAGCAACACACTGACTAGTCAGGAGATTCTCTTTTATTTGTGGCACATCTAAATTAATACCTTCCACATTTTCAATTTCGCTATACTCTGTGGATTCATTGGTATCATCATCAAAAATCTGCACCTTTAGATTTGTGATATGATAGCTCTTTCCTGTATGTATTCCATCGATGTGGTTCTCCCAAAGAACAAGCTTTATAGAGTCTGTTTGATAAACAAGTAATAAACTGTTTTGTTTCTTGTTTTTTGATCACTTTCAAATCCACCACTTCGTACAGATCTTTCAACAATGCTGCTTTGACAGTACACAGGTTACTTGACAATGCTTCATTGTACTCAAACTTAGGAGAGGATGGCATAATCTTTGCTTTCTTTGTTATGGTATACTCATCCAATCCTGCATGGAATCGTTTAGTGACAGATGCCTTTACACCAGAAAATTTTACCCATTTATTCTTATATGCCTTGTTGAATGTTCATGTGTTTCTCTGGTGAGTAGCATACAGTACAGACTTTAGTCTTCTCGTCAGTTTGGATGTGACAGTCAAAAAATGTTACTTTGAAATTTTTTGAAGCGGTTACTTTGCTTAATAAGTGCACATACCCCTCAAGGTCATCTGCAATAGAAAATACATTATTAATTTTATCTACACAAGCAGATATTAAGTTAAACACAAATTAGTTTGAGAGTCTTGCCATTCCAATGGCAATGAGGCAACAGCATTTGATGATACATACATATTTATAAAACACATTGCATCGAATGCCATTCTATAAATTTCGATAAATTACGTCTATTAATAGATACCTGATTGGCCTTTTTACTTGCACTAGAATGCATTTGGTTGTTTCGGTTTACAGTACATGCTTACAATATTGCCTTGCTAAAGTTTGCTACAATTACAAAACACCAGCATGTGCGAGAATTGCTTTTATATAGAATTTGTAAATTCACCGAAGTAGCCAAGATTTCAACCTCGATGATTTCAACAATTTCCCTATTACTAATTCACTTAGGTTCTCTTCACAGTCATAGTTTTACCAAGGATATGCTCTTGAAGAAGTTTGTCTCAAAACTAACATTTTCATGCACTTGCAACCCTTTGTATTGCCTTTAGCACCAGGCACACATTCACACAAACTTTACACAAGTTGGTATCCCTTGGTACAATGTGTTGGTTCCCCTTTGGTATGAGTTGTCAAAATGCTGGTACCCTTGCTATGAGTTGTCACCTTGACTGCCCTGGGCCTAGGTATAAAATAGTCAAAGAGGTCCGCATATATCTAGAGAAGTGTGCGCAGAGCGATGTTCTGGGTGTTAGCCCAGGGTGAGGGTAATAATCCACCCAGCTATTTAACCTGGTGAAAGGAACACACTAGCGAAGTCTAAAGTTCATCAAATATTGTGGGTGCATGGCTATGATCCAATGGCGAACCATAGAGATTATAAATAACACTTGTTATTGTCGCATACCTATTTTTTAAGATTCTGATGGGAACCAATAATTTGTATTTTATTTCACATCCCTTAAAAGGCTTTTCAGTGAAATTTTACATAAGTAATCTAAATGTTTTATACACCAAATAATAGACGCACACACATAACAACACTCAGTCACACACACACACACGTGGTCATACTACACAAATATATATGCTTTTTACTTCAAGATTTCTTAAGACTGGTTCCAAATGTTTCTACAAGTCTCTGTTTTAAAATTTTTTTTTGAAGTCTTTCGTTGTTTCGCAGGCCCTAAGTTCTGGTTTTAAGGAATTCCAAATTGTGGCCATTCTGAATTTGAAAGACTGTTGCCCAGTTGCTGTTCTGTATAAAGGAGTACCAATCATGCTCAAGTTCCTAGTAACACAAGATGAAATGTCACCTCATCTCACAAACTGTTCAGTTAGGTATGCAGGTGCGTTTGCTGTAATGCATTTAAATGCCATGACTGCATCATGAAAATATAAATACTGTCGAACTGGAAACCACTTTAGTTCTTGCAGGATTGGTGTGGCATGATCATATTTGCCAAATCCACTAACTATTTGACAAGCAAAGTTCTGCACTCCCTGTGCCTTGTTGTTTGAGAAGTGCTGCTTCAGACAGTAGAGCAATAATATAATTTTGAAAAAACTAGAGAGTTAATAATAATTAATGTATGTTTGTCAAAGCAATGTTTCACACAGTTTATTTGACCTAAACAAGACATTCATGAGGAGATAGTGGCTTGTAAATGCAGGGCTTCAAATTTGTATATTGAACAGGATACTAGCAACTTAAAATCTAGAAAATCTAGTATCCCACATTTGCAAAACATCTCTTTGTTCATTGGCATTACCCATTGTAAGAATTTTTTCAAGCCATTTAAAATTTTTGACAACGCTTTGTTTCTTCATACTTTGCTTGGCTTTGGCACTTTTTTTGAGCGTATCTTTCCTGGTCAGTCAAGTGCGATCGCCTTTCACTTTGTTTATCAATATCAGTCATGGACAGAATTTTTTTCAGTACCCCTCAGGATACGATTGATGATTTCCAGTATCCAAATTTAAAATCTGGTATCGCCGGGGTATTGGGATACTGCAAATTTGAAGCTCTGGCATGGCTGTTGAACGTCAGACCAGAGCCCAAGATTACACCAAGATCTTTGCCTCTTGTTACAGGAATGATTTCTTTACCGAGAAGTGAGAGGCGAAAATTAGGAAGTTTTGCTCTCATCTGTCTGCTACTGCATATCATGGCCTTAGTAACTTGTTATCAAAACACCAATTACATATTCTCAAGAGATCTTGATTTATTTCTGAAACAGCTATTTGTTGATGTTGCAGAGGAATGTTACATTAAAAGTTTTGTGTCATTGACATAGGAATAGGGAGAGCATTGTTGTGGAACTGATGGCAAATCGTTCACATAAATACTAAACAGAAGTGGCCCAAGTATACTTCCCTGAGGTACTCCACTCTTTACCTCTAAAGGCTAGGATAAGGTTGTTTGTATTCTTATTACTTGATACCTGGATTTTAGGTAGTATTGGAACCATTTTATTGCCTGACAAGATGTGCCAACATCTTCTAACTTAGTAACCAGAGTCGTGGTATCTATGCTATTGAATGCTTTTCTCATATCGAGTAATACACTCGCAGTTACCTGTTTCTTTTCAGTGGTATTCAAGAACATGTCTGTAGTCTGAATTACCGAGGTTTCTGTTGATTGTAGATGCTTGTTTCCACTTTGTGTAGACGATAACCATTCGTAAATCTTTGATAGCACTGGCAATAACGATATAGGTCTATTATTATTTGCGATCTCATGATCACCACTCTTGTGGATAGGAACAACTTCAGCGTTTTTCCATATGCTCGGAAAATTGAGGTTAACAGTGAAGCATTGATAATTGAAGTGATGGTGGGTGAAATTACAGTCAAGCAAGTTTTGATTACATGTATCGGAACTTTATCGTTCCCAGGAGCTTTGTTTGGTGCCATAGATATAATAGATTCAACTTTTCACGTTCAACAGCGGTAAAGGAAAATTGTTCAGATGGTAAATAATGTCTTGGTTTAAGAAGGTTTTCATTTAGGTCATAATTTTCATCAGCGGGCCATTTTTTCCATTTTTTAACCGTATTTTGACCAATACTGGCAAAGAATTCATTAAATTCATCAGCAACAGTTTTATGATCTTTACTATAGACTTTATGAGTGGCTGATGTTTTCGGTATACATGATTGTATAGATTTTCATATGGTGTTGGTCTGTTACTTTTAATCTATTCTCTCTCCGAAAATCTTATACGTTGCTTTACCTCTCGCCTGAAATTTTTAAAGGCCGACCATACAAAAGGGTTGTTTGTTTTCCTTGCCGTTTTCCACTCATCCCTGGTTTTCATGAGTTCTCCGATGTCTTCTGTTATGCAACAATTTGGTTTTCCTTTAAGTTTTATAGTTTTCACTGGGGCATGTTTATCTAGAATATCATTGAACAACGAGTGGAAAGCATACAATTTATCTTCAGCATCATCGAAAACGTCTGTGATTGACCATGGTGCTTGCAAAATTCACTCGCATTGTAGCTTTTGAAGCCTCTTGTTGTGATATAACTGGCTTAGGGCGCTCTTTCTTTAATCTTAGGACTGCGTAAACTAAATCGTGGTCGCTTATGGAGCAATGTAACACCTTAGTTTCAAGAACTTGGTTGGGGTTTACAAGTGAAATATAATATCCGACAACCAGTTATCTACTTATCTGTATTATATATAATGTCAGTAAATAAAATCCAAAATACGGATAACTCCCGAAATAATCCACATAACTGGATGAAATACATATCAAAATGCTCCAGATCATGAAGTATGTACAGGTGTATATCCACTCCAGGCAAGCTTGAAAAATATGCCTGACCATGGTGAGAATCGAATCTACGACCTTTGGGATACTAGCCCAATGCTCTGCATTGGGCTAGTATTCCAAAGGTCGTAGGTTCGATTCCCACTGTGGTCAGGTATATTTTTCAAGCTTGTACGGTGTGGATATGCACTCAGAGTAACATCACAAGCATCATACTCACCTGATTACATTACACCAAACACAGAAAAAAATCAATCGTATTGTTGTCTGGTTTTCGTGATTCTGATTCATTGTTCTGCGAAGTTGACCCACCATTCTCAGTTGTAGGTAGGTCAGGAGCATTTTGATTTTTTAATTCTTTCGGTTTATTTGATTTCTTCTGGTTCGACTTTTTTTGTTCAATTGGTTCATGGGATCGTCATTAAGCAGAGGATCTTCAATCACTAACAAGATAAATTTATTCATTCCAAAAAGGATGTTAGATTCATATTTATCATGAGCTGATGTTTTCGTTGATGTTTTTCCAGTTTTCTGATCTTTTCATTGTTAGTTAACTTTGTAGAGGAAGCGGTAAGGTCCAGTATTGCCGAGTTCGTATCATCTTGATAACTTGTAAGCTGGCTTTTTAAAGCTTCTATCTCTGCCTTGATACTTCAATGGTATTCTTTGAGATGGCATTCTGATTAATATTCTCTGATATTGTAGCCAGTGAGACCAACTTCATCCTCAGCTTATCCTTCAGTCTTCCATTCAGAGTTATTGATTGACTTTTTGGGTACCATCTCATATCTAGAGCCTCAGATTTGAACTGCTTCTCATCCCCGCCAGGTTTTCCCCAATCACCATCACTAAGGTTTAAAACCTCTTCGACAAACATCTGTAAATCCGAATGTGATTTAGTCCATACCAACTTTCGATATTCTGTTTGGGAGGGCTACTTTGCTTTCGTTCTTCAACATTCATATGCCTCATATGGAAAATAAAACACTAGGGGACTACATTGAGAAAATTGGAATTCCAGACAATTATAGAAACACTGGCAAAGTTATATCGGATGTCGGGAAAAGACAACAGGATCGTAAATTCAAAGAACTGAATTCAAAGAACTGAAGACACATGTAGAAAGGAGTCTGTGGTTTGCTGAAACATATGGACTGAAATTAGAATTCCCAAATTTCACTGACAATTCTGGTACTAGTTATGCCTTAACATTTAATGACAGCCAGTGGAAGAAGAGTTACAAAGCTCTTCTAGAAGGTAATAAGCAAACAATAAAGTTTTGATCCAGGACAAGTTTTGCATAGGCAAGGCCACATACTACAAACTGACCATTATTCCTGCAGGAGAGAATCTGGTAATGCAAGGTAAAGAATTGCTGAATGAGCTATGTCACTTTAAGCGAACACCTGGGTGCCCAATGACACACTCCAGAATGCAATCCAAAAACATGTAAGTTGTTCATTGATTACATAATCACATTTAGGGACTGGTCATTATTTATGGGGAGGGGGCCTGGAAAATTTAAGATTAAACGAGACTTACCTGTAAGTTGAAATTTGATTGTAATTCTATGAGTTATTGGACAAGGAAACTAAGGAGTCATGTGAGATATGCTTAGATATATGATTTGATTTATTAAATAAAGATACAAGGAAAGTCCAATTAGCATTACACCAGTAATATTTTAGTGTACCGAACTCATAGCTTAGAATGAGTTTAACATTATGTTGTAAGGTAGCAATATGTAGAGCTGGAATATGTAAACACATGTGTGAAGACTGCCTGATTCTGGTTTATTACTGTACAATTTGGATTTTGGAAGTACCAGTACAATAACTAACAATCCTGCACAACCTATATGACCCAATTTGCATGATGACTGCATGGTATTGAAATACACCTGCATATTAGTGACTCGTGATATTCCGTGGAGTATAGCAATATTATGGTCAGGTACGGTGTCAGCATTGCTCAGGTGTGAAAAAATTGCCCATGAAAAATATTGTGTACTTGTTGGGCAGACCATTTGATATCAATTCAGTCCTCTTAAAACTACAAAATACATGCATGCAGACACCCTCGCCTTGCTGACAAAACCATTGTATTTTCCGAACATGAAGTATCTAAAGTAGTTGCCATGGTAACACGATAATTTTTTAAGAATATTCTTAATACAAATGAAAAATCGCTTAAAAATATCACTTTAATTACAAAATTATCAATTTCCCAACATATATATGTTGGGTATGATATTATACGTAATATAAGCTTCAATCTAAGGTAAGATTCAACCACAAACGCTTCGCAAAACGTTTTAAAGTGTTCTTTATAAAACTAAACTGCTTTTATTCTTTAATTAAATGGCTTTATCGATAAACTTTGAGTTTGCAATAAAACGATTTCAAATTCTAGCATGCAAATAACTTTGCTTTCTTTTTTATTTAAAAAAATTCAATACAGTAAAAAAGGGAATCAATATTAAAGATACACTGAAATGGGGCCCGATAATACGATATGCTGTCAGTTTAGTTGTTTCATATACGCAAAGGCTGTCGGGTTTTAAAGCAATTATAAAGTCGGGTTTTAAAGTAATATTTAAAACAAACTTACCTTCGTTAATGTTGGCTCCCCCTTCTTTTAGCCGATTCTTTCGCCATTTCTTTCTTGAAATTTACAAAATCTTGCAAAAATGCGAGCAAAAATGAAATATATTTGCAAGAAATTTATTAATCATCAAATAAAGAAATGTTTGCTATTTCGCTGTCGTCATGCAGTCGTTATAATGCGAACTTTAAATTGGACCAATAACAGTGTTTGCTATTTATGACAGTCCGCCATATTTTTGAGATCAGTGAGGATGACCACCCACGGTTGGTGACCCACGCCCGCGATATTTGATGAACTTTAGACTTCGCTAATGCTTTCGTTTCCCTGGGTGTAAATAGCCGGGGGGAATTAGTACCCTCGCACGGCGCTTTGCGCCGTCGGCTCGGGGACAAAGAGATTGTTCCAGGGCATAAAGAGAAAAACCAAACCAGAATTACTTGTGTAAGGAGTAGCTTGCAATTGTGAAATAACACACACATATGCGCTTGCATGTTAACACCAGACGTTCAATCCTGTCTTATTGTGGCCAGTTTCAGACATGAATTTGGCTTTAAGCCTGTTCAGCAATGGCATTATCCTGTTTCCATACAAGGCATACAAGTCTGGAAACCAAATTTTTTCCCCAATTTTTAGTTTTTGCATTTTGAACGTTGTTCATGTTTTTGAAAATTACAAAAAACTGTAACGAGTACCCTGTAACAATTGTAACGAGTATTCACAGCCCTGGGCATACAACTCTAGAACAACACAAATTTATGTCTGCTGGGTGTTGTGGTGTTGAAGCTTATGCAAACCGTTTTAATTGTGGCTGCGGATAAAATGTTGCATCTGTTGTTCCTTGTGACAATATTGTTTAACAATTTCACTAACCATGACGTTTATATATACGTCCATATGTTCTAAAAAATATACGATCAGTACAAGATCCATATTACAAAATGTAATCTTTAATCACCTTAGAAAAAAGGTAATTGTGTATAATATCGGGAATTACCTTGTGAGTTCACTGCAATTGCAATTGCTTTTTAACCAGCAATATTTCCCGCTCTGCATATTTCCACAACTGTGACCTGAATGAGCCTACGGTCTTAACTCTTTCTCGACATGCAACATTTTTCACAGCAAGCAACATTTTGATTCAACTGTTTTATAATGTAAATATTTCAGCGTGTATTCACCCCCTTTAAAACAAAGAACACCATTGAAATCCTAGCAAAATAAGCTTTGAAATCCTAGCAAAATAAGCTTTTCATCGGAGGGTCAAATGCCATCAAAACAAATACACAAACTGAAACAATCATATAGTTACTCACCACTTGGCTAAACATTCTGTATTTTCATATGGAGAAAAAGTTGAATATTTTCTAAA